CTGAAGACAAAACGTAAGAGTGATATAATGCTCTGCTATTAAATTTGGACATCCATAACAAATGTTTGTAGTTATTTGATTCCATATGACTGAAGTGTCATATGGAATATGTTGTGTCCCGTCAAAAGCTAAAAAGAACTTGAACTTTCACTAACCTAGAGTAAAAACAATCCAAAAGATGGAGTTTATTTTCTAAGAAGACGTAATGGCCTATTAGAATTTGGGATTTAGTTTAAATAATCTTACTTTTAAAGCTATTCTTTTTTTACAATATAACTGAAATAAACAAAAAGTAAAATCGAAGCTAGCCGAAATTTTGTTGTTTTAATTGTTGTATTTTGGTTTCGATGTTAGATGATAAGAGAAAGACAGAAGCTTCCTGTATTTTCGTGTCGTGAGGAGATTTTAGCTGCTATTGAAGAAAATCCTGTTATTATTGTGAGAGGTGCAACTGGTTGTGGTAAAACTACTCAGGTAATAATGTCATTGAAGGTTTCATTTCATAGAATTCTTTTAAATAAATTGAACACTATTGTGTAACATCTTGTTCAAAAAGCATTTGTGAAAGTGTTAAAAAATAGTTGATTTGTTGTTAAAAGCATGTTTCTCACAAAAATGCTTGAATAGTTCTGCTAATATAGCAGATAGGAATTAGATAAAATGTTTTCAAATTTAAAACTAATTCTCATCATTAAAATTGCTCATTTTTAAAAATTTTAGCTGTAATATGGAGTTAAGGATGTTATATTAGAACAATGAATATGCATGTCAGCAAATCATGTGACAACCTCAGTCAGTAATGTTGTGGTGGAATAGAATGATTTAGAACTACATTTTCTTATTGTTTGGATTTCATAGGTAGTGTGTGGAATTAAAAACTAATCTCTTTTTGGGAAGGGTATGTAATAGCCTTTTCCAGTACAAAATATTCATACACACAGATCATGAAGATGTGTTCAGATTGGAGATTTAGAATTTCCAAGATGGGGAAACTCTTGTACTTAATAGCAATGATAAACAAAAGAATATGGATCAATTTGGGGAAGCAAGACCATCCAGAAATAGAAGTGCAACAAATAGTACACCAGCCATGTTTAGCGAAGTGCATCATCTTAAATGGGTATTAATGGTATTCCATACAAAGACACACTGGTCAAGTTGGCAGATGCAGTGCTTATGGATTTTTATGTGATTGGACTGTTGAAACAGATGTTAACCCTTTTGAGATGAGTCAAGGGTTAAAGGCCATGTCATCTCGTTTGTTAACTCACATTCAAAATTTTATTAAACTACTATCTAATGAATTTATGGCAATAAGTTTGGTATCAAACTGTAGATTATAGTTCAAGTTTTAGTACTATACACTACTTAATTTCTTATATTAAAAGTAAATATTAAAAAAACACAGATAAACATCAATTTTTGTGTGTCACGTGTTATGTTGAATGCAGCACTGGTTCAAATTAGATGTGTGTGAAGTCAAAATACTAAGTCTATAGGTTCATATGAATTAGAAGCTCAAATTACCAATATTGACAAGCTAGAATATAAAATAAGAATGTCTTTTCTATCTGCTAAGATATTGCTCATGTAATAATACAAACACAGTGGTACCCCACCCACCACTTTCCATTTTTGGAAATGCTCACTTATATACACGTCTATATATGACATGAATAACCAATCAGAAGCTCACAATGTCCCCTAGTGGCTTTCTCAGCCATTTTAATGGGCTTGGATGCCATTGCTTTCTTTTGAACCAATTTTTCAAGGAGGTAGGTTGTGTCTTTAGACTGCTTGAAATTTCATATTTTTTATTGACTAAAATACTGCTCAGTTACTAAGCATGATAAATTATAGTGGAATTCTGTGGTATTAATGTAGTAATTTATGATTTTTTAGTTATTCAACTGTATATATACCCCCCACCACCACAAAAAAAATATATTTTGTTTCATATCTTCCAAATGCAAAATTTTAGAAGGCTTACCAACCTACGTGAGGCAGCAACCGAGTACAAAGGTCTTAACTAGAAGAGATAATTGTTTGCTTTACTTCTTTATTTACTGTTCTGTGTTTTAGGAAAGATAACTTTAAGAACTTATTTTAGAATAGCAATAATCTATATACATATATAATGTATAATAATTGAGATGTGACTGTATTTTACAAAATACTAGCCGACTAAAACACAGCCAAGACAAGTTACTTTGTACAGACCAAAGGTCAGTTTTATGTTATTTGATACGGTAACGTGAGTGCACGTGAGCTGCATCATTGTAACTTCTGTTTTGTTAGCCTGGCACGGCTGAAAGGTTAATATAATAAATATATATAAATGTATAATGTTATGAGATTTAAGCTATTTATTCTAACCATTTATAATTTGTGTTCATTCTAGAGTGAAAGAGGCATAATTATTATTTATTTCCTAATTTTTTATGGTGGTTGTGGGATCGGTCATATCTGCTGAACCCGTACAGAGATTAATTACTGAAAATAATGGATAAAATACAAAGTTTTTTTTCTAAGAAACATTTGATAATTATCTGGACATTATAAAGATTTTGCATGTGAATTTGAACATTTTTCTGATGCATAAAAGTATTTTTAATATTAAAATGAAAAATTACTTTGCATGATAGATAGGCAACATTCAAAAAGAAAAAAAAAAGACATGGGAGAAACATTGCTTTACATACCTTAAGACTTAATAAAAAATTTATATTTTGTGTATGAAGTCATTGTAATGTTTACTGATAATCTGCCAAATTTCCTTAACATTTGGTTACTAATTTAAAAGTTATAGCATGAAAACTATAACAAGACAAAATGGTTACAAGGTCAGTCCCAGGGATCGAGCACATGCTGAAAAGAGTTAAGAAACCATTTTTCTTGTATACTAGATGAATTATGATAAGCTAGCAAGGATAAATGGTATGCTTTGGACGTGACAGTTTTAAAATGGGGTCTTTTGCAATGGAAACTATGATAGAGCATGATTGAACATGGTGACATAGACTATATTCATGGTGAGACTTCAAGATCATTTTGATACAAAGTTCTCATCCCTCTACAGAACATGTTATTTTAACCATTTCCAGCTAAGTTTTTAATATTATACCTATTATATTTTTATGAATAAACATCACCAAATCTGAAACAAACCTTTTCAACACATGGTATAATATTCATCATACCTTTTGAAATATAAATTTTATTTTTTATCAATTTATCATGTATAAAACAATCAAAACCACTATATAACAGCTGTTTACTATGCTGCATGTGTTATGTAACAGTTTAATTGATAGCTAGTTTTGATACATATATCATAGTGGATCAAATGATGATGTATGCTAAGCCATATTGTTGAAATAAATAGTGCAATACAAACTGTCTAAAGTATTAAAACATATATAGATATATAGTATTTATTTCTATTTTATATGTAGAACTTATATATGTCTGCTTTTGAAATATTTAAGTAATCTATTCAACAAGACATATCTTACATTTGACCCAAGGTGAAATATGATCCTAACATTGGTTGATGACCTTGAGTTAAAATACTAAAGTTATACATAACATTATCTGCCAAGAAAATTACTTATGTAGAATAAATAAACACATCAGAATGCTTTAACTAAATGACAACAAGCAGTCTTAATAAGTGTTGAGACAATTTGAGGTGTTTTAAGAAATTTTAAAGTCATAAGGAAAGATTAAAAAACAAAATCTCAAGTTTCAGATGTTAGGATGTTTTCATCTTCAGAAACAAGAAAGTTGCAAAAAAAACATGTAGATAATTTTACAATTCTTGTCACCAAGTTCAAATATTCACTGTTTTCGGACTACTTCAGATAAAAATAAGCATTTCCACCTTTTTTTCATCAACTGACAATTTGTATTTTTACAGATGGGAAATTTAATTATTTCCACCATCTGAATATTTCCAATGGGAGACCAATAACTGCCAATTAGGACTATCAGTTTTGATTACTTTTTTTGATTACTTCATCCAAAATAAGTGTTAATAAGATGTATATAAAAAAATTTGAAATCTTATCATTTCAGTAATAATTTTATTTTGGAGGAAATTTGTGGGGAATTATCACAATTTTGCAAAATTTGATTTCACAAATTTTCTACAAGTACTACCTGAAATGCTAAGACTGGAAAGAATTAGTATGAATCATTATTTTTTTTATATTTTCAATTACGTGTATATTCATCTTGTTATTAACATAAAAGTATTTTGTTCATTCTTGAAATGAATTACGTATGATTTGATATATTTCGGAAATTTTTTCATTGATAAGAATTCTAAGACAAATATTGTACTGAATTGTTATTGATTAACTCAAAATTTAAGAATGTGCAAGTTGTATTTGAAATACATGGAACTTAACCATTTTGAAAAGTAGCAACTCTCAGTGCATTAATTGATCATATTTTGTAGGTTCCTCAGTACATCTTGGAGAGCTACACAAGTGCGGGTCACGCTGCAGAATGTTGTATTGTTGTGACTCAGGTAAAGCTTCCAACAATTTATTCCAAAATAGAAATCAGTGTTTTATTTTTCTTATGCCTAGAAAGAAAAGTAGGGTATCGTAAGTGTTTCCTACTGATTTAAACAATGTCCACATAAGTTAACTCATCTAAGTTAACTTATCAATTTCTAATTTTGCACCTAGTATAATGGATAGGTACTACCTGCTGAACTACATATTTTAGATTTTTTTTAAATAAATTATCATTGATACTTGGCTCCTTGCCATTTTTATTTATCATAATCAAATAGGTTAAGAATAAACATTTGTTTCTGACATTTATTAAGTTGACTAGCATCAGTAGCTTCACCAAGGAAAGAAAGTTTTGATTTCCAGGTTCTTCAAAATCAGATAACTGATTTCTGTATTCTTATGGTAGTTTATATACTTGTCAATGAGTACAGAAATTTAAATTAATGGTTGGTTGTACTTTTTTATTCAGCTGGAACACTGTTAAAATTAACAGGGGGCACTTCCCCGAGTAACTTAAAAAATCTTGAGTTGATTTTTCAGAAATTAGTAAATGCCAACAATTAAATCCTTTGACAAAGACGAACAAACTTGAGAATGGCTATCATTGCCAAACAAGAATAGAAAGAATTGTTATTTCAATTGAAAACTATATAAGGATACATCATTAAAATATTTAAGATAATGATACTTCAGATTCTTTTTGTCAAATAAATTAGGATAAGTCACAGTCACTTTAATTTTTTTGTGATACAGTATTCTCTGAATAATAATGTATCAAACAATTTTGTTTTACCAAAATTCTTTAATTTTCAGATTGTGTTTAATTTGGAAGCATTAAAAAATTTTTTGACATATAATTTGACTGTAATTTTTTGTAAATTTGTACATTGGTTTAGCCTCGACGTATCAGTGCAGTATCTGTTTCTGAAAGACTAGCAGAAGAACGAGTAGAAACCATAGGATACAGCTGCGGGTATAGCGTTCGTTTTGAATCGGCTCTTCCTCGACCATATGGCTCAATTTTGTTTTGTACTGTAGGTATGTTGATAGTACATGCACAATTGAAAATCCAATATACTTATGATTAAGTCTTTATGAAATAGCATAGAAAAAGTAGAGACTTAAACATGTGGTGTTGAAGTGTTTTTTAAAGATTATTTATAAATTTAAATACTTTAAAAGCATTAAAAAATAAATGTTTGTTGGTGTAGAAAATCAAATCAAATTGGTACCTAAGTATTAACTGATATTTAATTAAGCCTTCTAATATGGATATTCCTGAAAGTAACCATAAAGAAGTTATACTGTAACTTTTTAAAACATACATATATCTTCAAGACATTTTGCAAAACATTTGTATACAAATTATCAGATTTTTAATTAATTATTTGTCGTTTATTTTTTCAAAAGTTATGTTGGAAAGTAATTTTGATTTTAATATTAAAAATACTTTTATGCATCACAGAATTTTCATATTTCACATGCTAATTCTCTGTAACCTAATATCCTCCAGATAATTATCAAACATTTTTTATAAAAAAAAATACAACTTTATATCATATCTGTTATTTTCACTATTGTATCTCTGTCTGGGTTTTGTCAAATCGACCAACTATGTAACCACCATACAAAAAATAGGAAATAGATATAAATTACACTTTTTTCATTCTAGAAATGCTACAAATTATAGCACAAAACCACAAATGTTTTGTCTAAATAGCTTAAAAATAGCATATATAAAAATTTATTATTTCATTCTATTGACCTTTCAGCAGTGTCTGATTAACATTATGGAAGCTGAGTGACATAGCACATGTGCACTCATGTTACTGTATCCAATAATATAAAACTGGCCTTTACAAAGTCTCGGCTGTGTTCTAGTAGACCAGTATTTTCTTAAATACAGTCACGTTTTGGTTTTAATACATTATATATGTATATACATTATTACTATTTACAAGTAAGTTCTTATAAGTGTATTTTTCTTAAAACATAGAACAGTAAATAAAGAAAGCATAGAAAACAATTTCTTCTAGTTACAAACTTTGTATTTGTTTGCTGCTTACTGTAGGTTGCTAAGCCTTTTCAATTTTTGCATGTGGAGAATGTAAAACAAAATAATTTTTTTAGGTTCCCTTCTTCATTTTGAAATAAAAAATAATAAATTACCATATAAGTACCACAGAATTCTACTATAATTTATCAGACATAGTAACTTAGCCGTATGTGGGTCTAAAAAAATGATTTTTCAAGCTCATTAATGTCTCACCTTACTACTTGGAATCTACTATGAAAAGAAACGGTTTCCAGCATAAATACTTCACAGAGTAACAGAGAAACACATGGGGGACATTCTAAGCTTTCGATTGGTTATTCATGTGTCATAGACAGAAGTAGGTATACATAAGCATATCCAAAAATGGAAAGAGGTGGGTGGGTTCACTATGTTTGATTCACTAAATGTAGCGATATCTCAAATAGAAAAGATATGAGGTTCTTAATTTGTAAGAAACTATAGACTTTGTATTTGGACATGATAAACATCTAATTTGAACCAGTGCTGCATTCAACATAGTATGTGACACACACAAATAGATATTTAGGAGTTATTTTTAATATTTGCTTTTAAATTAAGAAATTAACCTCCTCTGTCTGGGCATCATTTACTTCACATGTCATGAAATTTTAGTGGCTTTCATTCAAAATTTTATTAAACTACTTTTTGTTTATGTTATACCAATTTTAATAGTATACAAGTTTTAAGTTTTTAATTTTATAGGGCAATATTAAAACAAAATCCTGAATTTCTGCTAGTGTGAAAAATGTGACATATTTTCTCTAGGCATCCTCTCTCTCTTCTATTTTATTCACCACCTCTCCAACAAGTACGAAGTAATTACTCATTATAGAATCGTTAATTGCTCAGACAAACCATAATTTTTATAGCTTTCAATTTTGTGTAGTTACAGAGCCATCGAATAGAAAATAAGACCCCTCTTGCCACACCCACCTCTCACATCCTTTCTCTCAGAATTTGTTAGTAGTTGTCTCTTAAGTTTAATTCTGTATTATCTATAACCAATTGAAAGCCAAGTTTTTCATCTATCAAATGATGTATTAAATTACATTGTTTTCTGAACAGAGAATTGTCAATTTCACAGTTGGTACAATCTTTGTTCCCATGGGAAAGATAATGACTAGATTGGATGAATTTTTTACAGTTTTTGTTGCAGAGCTAGAAAGCCAGAAAAACTGTGATAGTTATGGGAAGATGTCTGCTCATTGCATGTTATTATTCTATGTTATTTGGTGCATTATTTAATTAAATAAAATTATTAATGCATTACTACCATTAGTATAAAAAAAAAATTGGGTTAAGTGTCACTGACAGCAAAAAAAAAGAAGACAACCCGGGTGAGCACTTTATTTCTTTTTTTTCATGTTTATTCTTTATTTATTATTATAAAACTAACTAAATTAAGGGTCTCTTTAGATTATTTAAGGGTAGATTAGGTAAAATAGATAGTAATAATGTGATAAAAATGTTTCAAGAGGCATACATGTGAGCAGCTCTTGGGTAATGTAATTTGCTAGCGTAATGTAAGCTGTGCGTTCCCTGATTGATTTACAACTTTTAATGCCACAGACACAGTTTAAGGGGCAATGAAACAATAAAATTTAATTATAAACAGATGTATATTGTTATGAACTTAGAGCTACTTAGGATAAAGAAATGTAGTTTCATGTTACAATTTGAAGTCATTCTAGAAAGAAAAGAAGGATTATTCAGATTTATTTTTTTATGGTGATTTCGAGGTCAGTCGAACTGACCAATTCCATTTTGAGATAGATTAGAGAAAATAACAAAAAACTATAAAGATTTACTGGAAAAAAACGTTTGAAATGCATTTAGGAGGTTTTAAGGATTACACAAAGGAAATTTGAGATGAAGAAACATAGTTATAATTTCAACATGAAAATTACTTTGCACACGGACTATTCAAAACAAATACTCAATATACTCATGGATAAATCTTTAATTTACTAAAAACATTTCACTAAAAAATATGATTTTATATTAACTGAAAGACTGCTAAATTTTGTGAAGATATACAAACTATATTGAAAGTTAGAAGTATTAGATCTGTAATGACTTTAATCGAGTGCAAAGAGGTCACGTAGTTGGTCATATTGACCAAGCCAGTGTTGAGAGAGTTAAAAAATCCTTTGTGACATTGGGAAATCTTTGAATGAAGACTGACAAGATTGAATCCTTGAAGAGAGATGGATGTTTTTCAAGTGTATTTTAAAATCTCTTTAATTGTATTGAAAACGTTTTTAATACTGGCTTGTTCTTACTCAGGTGTCCTCTTAAGAAAATTAGAAGCAGGTTTGAGAGGTATTTCGCATGTGATTATTGATGAAATACATGAAAGAGATGTTAATGTAAGTATTGTTGCCATTTGTAGTGGTAACTGATACATTATTGAATATTATTTCTGCTGTTTTTTATCAAGTCATATCTTGTGTTCTATTTTGGTACAATTTCAAAATGAAACTGTGACTGTCTAATTGTGTGAATGGCTGTTATGCTGCTATTTGAAAACTATTAATTTTAATAAGTTGAAAATTTTCTCTTAAAATGGTGTATTCATGTATAGCAGTTTGAGATTGCAAGATGAATTTTAGGCTCAAACACCTACATATTGAACATGTGTAATCCAAGACTTACATCCCAAAGTTCATAATGACAGAAGCTATGTGCTAGTATTCTTAAACATGTTCCTTTCAGTGTGGCACAGTAGGGTCTGACAATAACAAATACTCCTGTGCTTTTACCTCAGACAGACCAGTAACAGGGTCAGAAGACTGTTATTTTTATCTGGTTTCTGACACAATTTTGAATTCAGAGTAAACCTGAATAAAGACTAATTTCAATACATGTTAACGACGTGGAGAAGCAAAATGTTGCATTGTCACTTGTGTTGACATTTCATCATCACAGGATTGCAGTGTCCATAACTTGTGATCTCTCAAGTCAGGGACAAGTATGTTCTTTGCCCAGTAATGTAGTTGTCACTTAAGTGAAATAAAGGGGGGCAACATACAGTTTGTCCTTTTGTTTCCAATTTTGTGTTGTATCTAGATTATTTTGAAAATATAGTGTTTTTTTATATTACCTATCGTACTAGCTACACACACATTTCGTAGCAGACAACTTAATTTAACTTACATTTACCACCATGGAACTTTGTGTAAGAGTTTTATGATAATACCTTTGTAACATCCTGATCATAGAGGATGATCTGAAGCTACTTGTAGCTACAGATAACTGAACCTTACAATCAAGCCCGGTGGCAAAGGGGCTTAAAGGATCAGCCAGATTTGGTCCCATGAGAACTATGTATTGAAATTATATTGGTATCATGTTCTGTCACACCATGAAAGAATGAAGTGAAATACTACTCATTTGATGGAAGGACTGCTTACATACTCATGAAACATACCACTTAATTGAAGAAAAATACTTAAGATTGGAGAACATAATTTGGTCATAAAATTACTTAGTCACAAGATTTCCTTTAAAAAATACTGTTAAACTTCGTATCATCATTTCTTACATAATCTGTTATATTTCGTTAATATTTTTCTGGCTATATTCGGTGGATTAAGAAAACCATTATTTTATTTTGAGGTTGTCTTGTATTTGGTGTCATTTTGAAAGACTGGGACTTTTATGTATAATATTTCTTGTGTGGAGTGGAGCATTGTGGGACTTTGAGCCTTTACCTTTAAAAAATTTCAGTATTTTCACAAATACTTTCAGTGATTTTTTTAACTTATTTTTACAAAATTTATGTGAAAACAAAAAGTAAGCTTTTTACAAATAGGGCATCACATTTTCAGTTTCTTAGTCTAATAACTTTTATTTGTTGATCTGAACCATTTTTTATTCATTAAAAACAATCTAAGCAGTTTTTTTGGGGGGGGAGATTATAGATTCAAATAAATAATTATCAGCAAAGTAGTATTTGTGTGATTTATTAGGAAAGTTATCCATTTGAATTTAAATCTTCATTTTTTTAATTTGTAGGAAATATTTAAATAAAATTTTTTGCTTCCCAATAAAAAGTTTGTCTTGATATCAGCTTTAAAATTTCACTTACTTTCGTGATATTTTAAGTATTGCTTCTGTTAGTATTTATAGGCTGAGCTTGCTTGAAATGAAAATTGAACAGTTAATAGTTTGTGACTCATTATTTAAAAAAAATGCTTTGCACTGTGGGTATGTAGGTGTATTTAAGCTAGAAACTGGGTTTCAATATGTGTGGTGAGCAGAACACAGCCCATTGTGTAGCTTTGTGCTTAACTAAACATAAGCAACTAAGTATTATATTTGATGGTGAGATCCCAACAATAATTAAAACAAGAGTTGATGGTTTAGTGCTGACCAGCTTCTTTCTCTGTAGCCTTATCAGTTCAAAATAAGAGAAAATTATGTGTAGATAGGCTTTATAGCTTTGTGCAAAGTTCTGAAGCAAAAAAAACAATCTGTAAACAAGTCTTATTAATTTGTAATTTACAATTACTGCCATTATTGAGCTCATACAGAAATGTGTAGGAACATAATAAATTTTTTATTTTCAGACTGACTTCATCATGGTGGTTATTAGAGACATGGTACGAGCCTTCCCACAGATGCGTATTATACTTATGTCTGCCACGATTGACACTTCTCTTTTCCAAGACTACTTTCAAAACTGTCCAATCATTGAGGTACTTGGTCGTTCTCATCCTGTAACAGGTAAGTTATTTCAAGTTAACATAACTGAGTATTTAAATAAACTACTGCAAAGGAAAAGCAGTGAGAACATGGAAACAAATAGTGATAGCTATAAACTTTAAATTTATCTGATGTACCTTGTCAACAGTTATGTTGGTTATATAAATTAATAGTGATATCATCTCTTTGGAAAGTCTTAACTTATTAGCAGTATTTGATATTAAAATATTGAAACAGTTTTATGTACTAGCCCTGAAGAAGCCATAAAGGCAAAACATAAGTTAAAATAAAAGTTCTCTTATATTTATCTGGAATGTAAAAGTCGTTTTTGTAACTTGATTATCAAAATGTGTAAATCCCTCCAGTATGCACTAAAAATTTTGAAAGTTATTATAATAACAGCTGAAGTAATTTCAAGTGTATAGTAAGTCTTGCATTTTTTAAACTAACCTTGTTGTTTTTCTCATAGACCACTTCCTAAACACAGTACATCATTTGTCTACTTTAAATTTGTATTCATTTGTTTACATGTATCAAATTATATTAATATAGTAGTATAAATACTTAACATGTGCAAATGTGTATATAAACTCATGTATTTTATATAGAGCCCATCAAGAAAGGGTTAAAAAGTATATAATAAAACTAAGCTTTAATCTCAATATAGAGATCATAAAACCAGCTGAGTTACAACATGAAGCCATTATAGTTTATATACTAACAAGTGTTTATAGCTTAACTCCCGTCAAATATCGTGCTATGAGTCTTTATCATTGAAAATGCCTAAGCTTGGAAAGGATGAACCTTTTCCAGACATCATTGTATTACCAAGGATAACTTCAATCGTTCACGTTATAAGTGGCTGAATAGAAGTTTCCAACTAGATAAATTTATTGTTGCATTTTGGCTCCACTTTGTCATATATATACATATAATTTAAGGACAACAAGAGTCATGTTAGCTTATCTAGACTGTCCTATTTACTATACTAAACTCTAAAATTAAAATAAAACACCCAGAACCAGCTGTTAAATTTATTCACATACTTATCTAGCCTTCCTTTAAGCTCCCTTAAATTACTTACATCTTTCACATCCAAAGGCCAACCACCCTGTTAGAAAAGCAAAGCTGTCTCAGCTGAAGATAACTCCTGCATTGCCAAAAATTGTATTTATGTCTCCTAGTCTTACCATTCTCACCAAAAGTAAGAAAAGAATCATGCATAACAATCTTAACCCTTTTGCCTCAGGCTTGTGTAATTTGCAGAAAATGTCACGAATTTCACTTGTGCAACAATACATATGGTAATCTGAGATTTCGTAACGTATTCTCTCAAAAACTTATAAGATTTTGTTAAGGATCATAAATATCTTGTACATAAAGAATGACATTATTTTAATTAAGTGTTTTTACTAAAAATATGTTATTTATCTATTTTAGTTACTTGCACTCAAACTCTTAACAAATCGAGTGCAAGTGATTTTTCATTTTAAGTGTAAAAATATTTTTCTTCATCTTATAGTTTCATATTTTATTTGCATAATCTCTAGGACCTTCTAAAATAATATCCTAAGTTTTGTAAGGTAAATGTTTATATTTTATTTTTCATTTTCTCCACCATATTAACTCTAGCTGTTACCATCAACATACAGTGCAATGAAATAATTAAAATTAGGAAATAAAAAAATTACATGCCTTTTGATTATTTGTAGAATATCTAAAGATTTTCCTTTTGTTAAATTTGTAATTTCAGGTATTTTCCTTTTCATATATAGTTAATTTTTGATGTTTTATTATCCTTTCTTGTCCTTTACCACTTAGTATTGATCTTGACATTAGTCAACAGTGCCCTCGTGGCATATTACAGAGTCACTGGCAGAAATGTGCAACCCTTTGGCAAAATTCTCATGCACTGAGTATTATGAGAAGCCTTGAGAACTGATGCAAAGTATGATGTATATTTAAAAAATTTAAATTATGCATTTTAAAACAGCTAATACATAATTAACTAAAATATAATAGTAAGACCTAAATACAATTTAAACTGTACCTCTAACTATAACATATATATGTAAGAAACAACCATTAATGTTATAGTTGATCAAGAAGCCAACAGTACTACAGCAAGTTACAACTGTTTTTACCAATTTCAAAATAACCAATGTTAGAGCTCTTTCTAATGACTATACATGTGTATGTAACATGTATATATAGGCTATAAAGGCTTAAACAAATTGTTGAAGGTGGGCGTGGCACCTGTCAGAGGTTGAAAACATTTATGACTTATTTCAAATGCATTCATTTAGTGAACTTTGAAATGTATGAGTCAAAAGGTTATGTTAGCATCTTATAGTCCAGACTCTAGACGTATATCTACACAGCTGCCATTGTATTATTGAAGATACAGAGTGCTAAAGTAGAGAATTTTCATAGCTCGTTCGTCACGTGACAATAGTTTTTTAAAGGTTTCTTTTGAAATAAAAGATTTAAAGCTTAGGTAACGTAAATCTTCGAATCATAACATACATTATAATGTTAGTTTCATTCACATTCATTGATAATAAATGTGATTAATTATATTTTGAATGTAACACAATGACTTGTGCAGAAAAGAATTTAAAGGGGCACCCATTGTGAAAGGGTTAAACACATCAGTCAGATCCCCTCTAATTCTTCTTCCTTCAAGAGAAAACAATTTCAGAGATCCTATTCTATCCATGTATGATAACCTCTTTCTGAGGCACCATCCTAGTAGCCCTCCTCTGAACCCTTTCTAACAATTCAATATCCTTCCTAAGATAAGGAGTCCAAAACTGAACATGGTACTCCAAATGTGGCCTAACTAGTGACCTATACAATAACATTATAACCTCATTAGACTTGTATCTATTATTTCTGTATGAAAGCTAAAATCCTATTTGCCCTGCCACTTGCAACAGCATATTCCTTGGATGGTATAATAGACTGATCAACCTAAAAACCAAGATCCCATTCTTTCATAACAGTATAAAAGTTATTTCCATCAAAATTATGTTGAAAGTTCAATTTCTGATATCCAACATACATTACCTTGCATTTATTATAAGTAATAGCCATTTGTCATTTATTCTACCAGCTCACCCAATAATACAAATCATTTTGTAAAGCAGCAGCATCTTTCTCAGCTTTAATATCATTAGCTAATTTAAATAATTTGTTGTCCATTCCTTCATCTATATAATTGACGTAAATAAAAAAAAAAGCAAAGTTCGTAACATTGAAACCTGACGTACCCCACTTGTGACATTAAATTGTTACATGATAAAGCCCTTCTTTTACTACAAGAGCTCATCAGTTCAGCTTGATTCAACACAAAGTCTCAGTCTTGCTGGAACAATGTACTGATTATATTAAATTTATTAGTAACTCCTTAGTATTCTAACACTAGTAGGATGTGTGAAGGTTTATTGAAGTAATTTAATGACATGTATGTTGAACTTATCGAACATTAAATATGTTGTCACTACTAATAAATAAGTTTCACATCTACATGTTTAATGGAAACTGTGCACTGTTACTGCAATTATTTCTTATGGTTTGAAACTGTACATCAACATTTTCATATGGTAAGAACTTGATAATTAAGGGTTCAATATAGAGGCTGTTAAAAGTTTTTTGAGTTTTAATAAATAGAAATTTTGGTTGGGTTGTCATTAGCAAGTTTTTCTTTTAGACATTCTGTTACAATGAAATGAACTTTTTCATTTAAGTGAAGCTGCTGTAAAAATATTACAAATAGAAAGAAATAATGAAATCAATAAAGATACGTTATAGGCTAGATTTTTGTTTCACCACTTCAGCAAATCAGTTTTGTAGAATCACATTAACCATTTGAAACTGATTTTAACATACATGTCTTTTCATGCATATTTACACTTTCATTTCTATGAAACCCTTCAATTTATAATGCTTTCCATGAATAAAAAAAACAACAATAACCTTGTTTAGAGATTTGTTTTGATGTGTCTTTTTATTTTAACTTTTAAGAGTACTTTTTGGAAGACTGTATCCAGATGCTAAGTTTCACCCCTCCTCCAAATATGAAAAAGTCAAAGAGCAAGAAAGATGAAGATGGTGTTGATGGGGATGACCAAGATGTAAGTTTTTGTGACAGAAAATTTGGTTTCATTGTATTTTTTAATCATTCTTTAAAAAAAAAATTAAAATGTAGTACCTAAAAGATTATTAAATTAGTTTTAATATTAAGAAATAACATATGACAATAGGTAGTTTATTTAACCTAAATGGTGAAGCAAGATTAAGATTATTAAACAACCAGGTTGTCATCATATAAAAGACTGGTTAGCTTAGATGTTATTGATTGATCTGTTTATTGTTGTTTAGTTTTGTTATGATATGAGTTAAAAGCAGACGATTGTAGGAGGTTTTGATTATAATTCATTGATGTTGAGACTATTGAATGTTATGTGCAATACATTGACGTTGAGAATATAGAAGGCAGACAGATGATTAAGTGATAAAGATATAAATAGTGTGAGACGATCGGGAAGCAGCAGACAGACAACAATAGAAAAGAAGATAATTAAATTAATTTTATTCCATCAAAGTGTGGTTTTAAAGTAATTGAATCATCCTGAGTGCAATTTGACAAAAGGAACAGATCTTCAAAAGAAAGAAGACCAAACAATTATGGTAACTTGCGCCACAACTGTAAGTGAATCACACACAGCATACTAGTGTGACAATAATAAAGAAGATAGTTTAGCTTGTCAACTGAAATTCTAAAGTAATTGAATAAGCCTAAGTGGACTTTTGACAAGGAGAGAACTACATATATAATGTTTACTATATGCTTGTAATCTCT